TTGCAATCAATCAATACCTTAATGGTAAATCAAAAATGCAAAGTCTTCTGACTAAATAGCACAAAGAAGAAGTTAAACTGCTGACGCATAACAACGATATATTATTAAGACGTTAGGCTTCGAGAATATACTTCTGTCTGAAAGTAGATGTGACATTTTATCAATGTAATCTTTACGATCCATAATAACAACACCTGCACCCTTGTCAGAGTGTGTTAATAATATATCGTTGTTATGCGTCAGCAGTTTAGCTTCTTCTTTGTGCTATTTAGTCAGAAGACTTTGCATTTTTGATTCACCATTAAGGTATTGATTGATTGCAAGAATCAATGATGGCAGATTTGAAGCATTGGTAATCCTGGTCAGACAGTAGTGTGGGATCATCATAAGTTTGACAGAGTAAATTCTCAAACTGGACATTTGTATGTAGCTTGTTGACATTGAGATTAACATCTCATCTTATATTGATTTTATTCATCAAATGTCTAATCATCCATTTTAGTCATGTATATAAATGAAGCAAGAAGGTTGTGTGAGAGTGAGTAATGCTTTGATATGATTATGAGCAGTAGTAATCATTTGTGCTGGAAACGTGGTTATCATCATTAAATATTACTGTATAACACTACACTGTGTGTGATTTTATCAAAATACAAATTTTATCTATAATGGAGTTATACTGTACCACCACAGTGCCTAGGTTTTATCCTACCATAGTAGGCGGCTTGCCTAAATCATTGGGCTACCGAAATTACTTTCCTCCAAAATACCTAATTTCATCTGGATTTATCATTGTTTTAATCGTCCAGTTATATCAAATGACGTATACATAAACTTGCACGATGATTTAACTTGCTCCCAAGTAAACGCTGTACAATTCTTCAACGAAATGAAGATATACTCCAGATTATTACTTTGCATGTGAATCCTGTGTGAAGAAAAAAGTACTTTGGAACTGAATACGCTGGAAAGTTTTGTACCGTATATTCGCATACTGTCTTAAATAAAGCTTTACCATTATTATATTATTATCATTATCAATAAAAAATGTATTATGAAATTATACTGTAACTGGTGTATACCAAATATCACAGGTTGTTTGCAGATGATGAGAACCGATGAAATAAAAGAATGGATCAATGTTATTCTGCGTCAATGTTGGTTTGTTCTATCTTTATTGAATTGGATTTTTTGATTTTCCCGTCGATTGATTGGACCGAAGTGCTCGGTCTATCTCAGGTTGACATGTCGGCTTCTTGTGTAGATGCTTCGACGATGTCTGGGCATTTAGTTAGGATACAATTGGTGGATGGTGACTAGCAGTGGAATCCAGGATGCGCATTTCGTCCAATTTGGGACTCGTCAGCTGGATGTACCTGCATGCCAGTCTGAGACCAAGCACTTCGGTCCAATCAATCGACGGGAAAATCAAAAAATCCAATTCATTAATTAATATGACCCGTTGCACAAGAAGTGGATGTCGTGGCCCAAGTGGTGTAGTGGATAACGCTTTGGCTGGCATTCGAAACTATGGGTACTGGGTTCGAGCCTCGGTGGGAACATCATCACTCACTGGAGAATAGAGGTACATCCAGATAGCTGACGGGTCCCAAATAGGACGAAATGCGCATCCTGGATTCCACTGCTAGTCACCATCCACCAATTTTTCTATCTTTGTTTAAATTTACAGATAAAAAGAAAAGGATAAGTCGTGTGTACGTTTCAGTAACCTGTTGGAAATGCTTCCGGTGACTTTTCAAGTCTTTGACTGAATTGACATCAGTGTGAACATTTAGTATCTTGTCGCTTATTGTTCAGTGTTGTAGATCTCCATATCAATTTGAGAACAGTGAGAAAGTGATCATATTAGAGAATATTAAATATAATTAAAACACTTGAACATCAATGAGATGCTCACTGGCGACTGACCTCATTCAGCCAGGTAGTTACCTGGGGTTCCAGTGGGAAGTCGTGACCAGTAGGGTGCAGCAGGACAAATACTCGCCGAAGACGTTGGCTAGGGGTCGCGCCATGTTGTGAGTCGGCAGAAGTTAGAATTCAAGGACCATTGGATCGGGTCGCAGCGGCTTAATTGTATACGAGGTCACTGGTTTTGTAGCCAGAAGGTCCTGGGTTTGAACCCTGGCGGTGGGTTCGTATTGATGAAGAGTCCCAAACTAGGCTGACCAAACAGTTGTCCAGTACTCCTTGCAGGTTTTCCAATGGTTCTCTAACCAGTATCAGCTAATGATGAAATCCCGTAACCAATCAATCAAATCCCTACAAACAAATACTTAAAATACTTTTGTTTAAATCGATTTCTGTGTTTCTGCCTGGATAAACTGAGTCAAAATAGTCAGTCTCTGCTTTGGAACATTAGCGTCTGAGGATTAAAACTTATATTTGTTTTGATGGATGGTGATAAGCAGCAGAATCCAGAATGTGCCTTTTATGCTTGGACGGAATTTTTCTAAAATGCTTTAATTTTCTTTACAGAACAGCGCTATATGTATTTACCCCCTCTCCCCTACCACTTATGACCTTGAGACCCTATTGGTCGTTGACTGTTTCAACTTATCAATGTGATTAGTGTCTCTCCAGGCCATTTAAATCGTTTATATACACAATTACTGTCAACTCTTTTCGCTGTTGATTCGAGATACTAAAAGCTGTCTACGTTAACGGTCTGTCTCACCTTCTTGCTTCACTATTTCGTGTCGTTGTTGCTGTTGTTGTTGCTAATACTGATTAGAATAGTAGGCTGACAAATCGACTAGGTAGGGAGTTCGTTAGCGAAAACTGCCAAGTGTATTATTAACTGTTTTATCAGTTCTATTTGGGGTTCATCAACTGTGCGTACCTGCACAGATCTTCACTGACTAATGGTGTTCCCACTGGTGTTTACAAAGATGATTTCTGGATTCAAGTCTTAGTGGGAATAGCACGACTCATTAGGGACCCTTGTGGGTACTTCCAGATTATTATTATATTATTATTTCCTTTAATTCCTAGAGGAATATAGGGCTTCAGCTGCACATCTCCATTACGTTCGGTTCTCTGCCAAAGTTTTCACCTGGCTCCACGTCTCCTCACATGCTTTCATCTCCTCTTCACATGACCTCCTTCAAGTCACTCTCACATTGACGACCAAATCGCCGCTTCCGTTTCGGGTTCCACTCGAGCGATGGCTTGTCTAGTGATGTCACTTGATGGTTTGTTTTCTCAGAGTATGGCCACCAATCCACCTCCATTTCTTCCTGCTTATTTGTTGCACAATCAGTTCCTCCTGAGTTGGTTCGCTCATTGCCAGGTATCCCTGTTGCTGATCTTTTCTACCCGGCCATCTGATCTTGATTGGTATTGAGCGAAGACAGCTGTTGATTAAGGTCTTTAGTTTATTTGAAGCGCTCTTCATGACGCTCCAAGTCTCTGATCCGTATAGTAGCACTGACTGACTTCACATTGGAGTTGACCTCCACACAGACTTGAGAGTAATGAAAGCTTGTGTTGCTTTCCCGATCCGTGCTGCTTTGATATCCTCGTCAGTTCCGTTCTCCTGTAGTTGAAACGATGCTTCCCAGGTATATAAAGGAAGTTTTCTCTCTCAGGTTCCTCCCATTTATGCTGATTGTTGTCTGTTGTTGTTGCCCAGGAATCTTCATCACCTCCGTTTTTTCTATGTTCAACTGAAGTCCTATCTTTGATGCTTCTTCTGTCAACTTGTCCCTTTTCACTTGCATATCTTCCAGTTTGTGGGAAATCAGACACATGTTATCATCGGCGAAGTTCAGGTTCTCCAAGTTTTTCGTGAGGGTACATTTTATGCCTGTTTCCTCATTGCCCGTTGTCTGTCGCATTATCCAATCTACTGCAATCAGGAAAATCACTGACGATAGTAGGCAGCCAGCCAGCCAACCTTGCCTTACTTCCGTCTAGATGACGAGTCCTAAATAGGACGAAATTTCTAGATCGTGGATTCCATTGCCAGCATTAATAGTAGTGGTATTCACCACTGACCAAATAAAATCAATAATTCAAATAAATTGATAAAATAATGAGTTACCCTACAAAAAAAGCAAGACAAGAGGTATTGTCACTGACGATCCTTTTATTTTTCATTAAAAGTTTTTCGAAAACACACACACACACATACAAAAATACACATAAGGTGATACTGATGATGCGTAATTTTTCATCGTTTTTTCTTGAAAAAAATATAGTTTTTTTCTAAGCAGAAAGCATCATGCTTCTACATAGGCATTTACACACACACACACACACACTCCTGTATACACGCAGATAGACATACGAATTAACTGCACACTCACTTATGTAACTACTAACACACACACACCCACAACATATACACACACACCCACACTCACACTCACAATCACAATCAAACCTACCTTCATATTAGCTAAGCTCATATCCAACGTTTTGTTATCAGTTGTACACTGACTGGATGTGAAACACGAGGGGCCATAACAATCCTCACTTTTTATCATTATTATTCTTATTAATAGTAGCATCAGTTGCGTTATTACTATTATTATTATTGATGAGTTTGAAAAGAGTAGCCTAGTCATTTCACTTAATAACCACGTGTCATCTAAATCGTTTATATATATGGATATATATGCATATACAAATGCTTAAGCTCTTTACCTAAACGCACACTATTTCTAATCACAACTGAAATCAAATTCTACTACGTGCTTTTGAAATTTTTGACAGCATTTTGATTTGTTTTTCTTTTTTAAATCGGATTGTTGACCTTGTCCAGCTCAATTTAAACAACTACAACTAACTACATCTGCCATTATTTATATTTAATGAATGTTGAGTATTGTGGAAAAGGGGATATTCTCTCTACACCTTTATTTATTATCCTTCTCATGATTCGTATTCACATCATCTTAAAGTGAACCAATCACCCAATCGATCAATCAATCAAGCGATCAAGCGATTAATCAGAAAAGCACACACACACACAAGAAATGGTAGATTGTAAATGTTTTCAAAGGAGACGAAAGGGAAAGCACGATACTACTAATACTACAAATTCCCAGAGTCGTGAAGTTTATGCTAATGGTTTGTTAAATACAAAAGGTGATCAATTTAAGCATAATTATTGTAATAATGCAATCACCTCGTCACGTTATACATGGTATAATTTTTTTCCAAAAAATCTATTTGAACAATTTCACAACATGGCTAATATTTACTTTGTATTGATTGCAATCACCTATTTTTTTGTCGATAGTTTTGGTGATGTTTCGGTGACAATTATGCCTCTGGTTGTTATCATCGGTTTATCAATGATAAAAGATGGTCTTGAGGATATATTACGTCATCGAGCGGATAAACAACTGAATTCTTTAGAGTTTCAAGTATTAAATATTGATTTTAATAAAAAACAAATTCAGTGGATTACTAAACGTGCTGCGTCGATATCTGTTGGTGATGTCATCTATTGTAAGTGCAATCAAGCTTTCCCATGTGATCTTCTCTTGTTGACATCAAGTAATGCTACAGGACAAGTGTATATTACAACAGCCAACTTAGATGGAGAAAGTAATGCGAAAAAGTATTATGCCATTTCTAAAATGCAATCTATCTATTCTGAGTATGCAACCGATGAAATGATTGATAAAAAGTTGCAGCATTCAAGTTTTGAATATGTCATTGAAGAATTATTCTTGAAAGTGAATTGTCAACCGCCAAATGAACAGCTGAATACATTTGAAGGTCGTTACACAAATAAACAATTGAACGGTGCTAGCCTACCATTAATTATAACAAATCTAGCTTTACGTGGAGCTAGACTCATCTCTACAGATTATGTAATCGGTTTAGTGTTATACACTGGAAAGGATACAAAATTATCGTTAAACAGTAAAAAGGCTAAACGTAAGTATAGTTCACGAGAGGGTCTTTCCAATGTTATCCTACTCATGTTTATGGGTGCAATGATTGGTTTGACAATTATCCTATCGATTCTTTCCACACTATGGATTAAACAGAATTCTGTGAATATCTGGTATGTGACATTTGAACAGTTGACACCGTGGCAATTTGTTCGAACTATGTTTCGATTCTTGTTCACGTTAAATTATCTTATACCAATATCAATTTTAGTTACAACTGAATTTCAACAATTGTTGCTCGCCTTCACAATATCAAATGATATAGAAATGTATGATCCTGTTGAAGATTTACGTAGTCGAGCGAATAATTCCCAGTTGGCTGATGAATTAGGTCAAGTGGAATTTTTATTCAGCGATAAAACCGGTACACTGACACAGAATCAAATGGTACTACGTTCATGTTGTGTACTGGATAAGAAGGAACATGTTTACAAGTGTGATGCTGGCGTTGTATCAAGTAGAAGTAATAGTAATACCAATGCAAATACAACAAATACGGATGACACTTTAAGAAAAGAAGGAGAAGAAGAAGTGTACAGTTCATCAGATTCAGAGGAGGATGATGCCGCTGTTGTTATCGATGAGAATGCTCAAAGCCGACGAAATATCCAACAGACTGCTAATAAGATGAATGGTAAACATAAATCGAAAACAAGTTATAATGTTAAACATCCTAAATTACCAGATATGAATCCAAAATTACGTGAATTTTTAACTATTGTAGCTCTTTGTCATACAGTTGAACTGGATACAACAAAAACTACAGGGGAATCAACAACTTCTACAACTGACAATAATAAAAGTTATGATACTACAGAGAAATTAAATAATTCGAGAAAACTCAGCAATAAGGATAATGTTACGCACAAGGATTCAAATCTACCGCCAAGATTTTATGTGTATGGAGTGAGTCTGTTATATTTTTCAGTTAATTAAAAAAGCGTTATAATTAGCAATTAATAGTTGTTCTCTGAGCTGGTTGGTTTAGTTGTGGAGCTTTCGTCGTCCCCCTTCTGAACAACATTCCCTTTCAGTGCAATATTTTGCATAAAGTAAAATCATTTAAATTCCTTCATGAGTGATAGAATTGCGTCTCTCGGTAACCATCTTTACATGTGTATTGACCATTTTCTATTGACTTGGATTTTAAACTTTCTGGTCACTTAATTTACTTTTTATTAGTTAGTATATTTGGTGTATATTAACGTGTTTGTTAATTGCATATTCGTTTGAGTACCAGGCTCCTAGGAATTCCCTGACTGCACTTTCGGTGGTGTTTCCTCTGTTCAAGATTTCGACATTATCCCAGTTATCAAACTGAAGTCCATGATTGTCGATATGCATTGATATGAAACAGGAATACATATCGTGTCTTTTTACGGCTGATTTGTGTTTCTGGATTCTAATTCGAAGGGGACGCCCACTTAACTGACCGATGTAATGTCTGTTACAGTTACTACATGCAATTTACTTTGTAAATGGTGTTCATTTTATCTCCTTTTTCTGTTGGATGCGTCTTCCGGTTTGCATAATATCGAATTAAGTGATTTGACTGACTTGTGTGCTATATCTATTTCAAACGGTTTCAGTATTCTAACTGTTATTTCAGAGGTATTTTTCATGTATGGTAGAATGACTTTTCTTGTGGTCTTTGATGATGGTTCCTTGTTGGTGTTGTGATTCGACTTTAAACACTTTTTGATGAAATTTTGTGGAGGGGATAACCATTCTTTTTGAAGACCGTTTGTTGGTATTTTTCTTCCATTCTTTTCAACTCTGGAGTGTTACAGTGTGTTTGAATTCTTTTAAACAATGTTTGCACACAGTTTCTTTTGTGAGCAGTTGAGTTATTACTATTATAGTTGAGTATTTGATCTGTGTGTGTGCGTTGATTTCTCGATTACTTGTTTTTCTAAATTTCCTGTGTTGGTTCTCCTGATTAAGACATCTAAGGAGAATGGAATTTTGTGATCTAATTCTTCTTCTCTCGTTGTGAATTTGATGTCTTCAAATATGTTGTTTATTTATTTATGGGTATATTCTAAATCACATTTTTCTTAATTATTACAAATGTATCATCAACGTAACTTACCCAGATTTTCGGTTTAATTATAGTTGGTAGAGCTATTAATTCTAATCTTTGCATGACGGCTTCAGCTATTAATAATCCTGATATGGGCGATGATCCCATTGGTATTCCTTTTATCTCTTCATAAATTTGGGTGTTGCTCTGAAGATGTTCTCCAGAAGGACAACGAAAGCTCCGCAGCTAAACCAACCAGCTTAGAGAACACTACTGATTGCAAATCATCCACATGACCTACAAATCGTCTCTATTATTTCAAAACGTTATAATAGAGAAGATTTGTAGCTCAAGTGGGGATGATTTGCAATTAGTTGTGTTCTCTGAGCGGACAGGTTGGTTGGTTTAATTACGGAGTTTTCGTCGTCCCCTGTTAGACAACATGTTCACTGCAAGTTTTACCACAAAGTGAACTGATTTGTATTCTCTATGAATGATAGAATTGCGTCTCCTGGTGAATCATGTGTCGAGAAAGTTTAAAATCCAAGTCGATAAAAATGTGATCAGTATAGATGTAAATCGATTACCAGTCATGAAGACGGTTACCAGGGAACTCAATTCTATCATTCATGGAGAATACAAATCAGTTAACTTTTTGCTAAAACTTGCGCTGAACATGCTGTCCAACAGGATGACGACGAAAGCTCCGCAATTAAACCAACCACCGAGTCAGATCAGAGAACACAACTTATTGTGAAAAGTGTTATACACTGAGTAACAATTTAGGCAAAAAGTGGTATTTAATGATGTTCTTCGGTGGGTAGTGACTACTAGCAGTGGGATCAGTCTCCTCAGTTTCGTACCATTTGAGACACATCAACTAGAAGTACCTTCACGGATCTCCACTAAGACTCGGACCCAATACCATTCACATCAAATGCCAAAGAGTTTTCCGCTAATCCATTTGAGACACCATAAGAGACACCTCTTATGCAGTTGTTATCGATTATTGTTTTAATTGATTAAAAATGAGCATTGGAAGTTTTAAAAGACTGAGTTTAGTGAACAAAGAATATTCTTTTCGATAACTTCTTGGTCAGGCTCTACAGCTATATTGATTATAATGATCAAATGGTGTTTATTGTTGATTTGAAGATTAGTGTCTTAAATGACACTGAATCAGTAATGTCAACAGATTACAGTTAGAAAGCATCTGTATTTATGGGAAGTAATACAGGATTTATGAATTTATAGATCCCATAGCGGGCCATGATATCACAGAAGGAAGTGATAAGTAGACCTGTTCCATTTGCACACAGCCCTTAGGTTGTTCTAAGTGAAATACAATGGCCACTTCTGTCACTCGAGTGTTCGGTATTCAGAGCCTTTTTGGTAACTTATTCGATACCCGATAGATGATAAAGAAAGATTCGTCAGTGTTAGCTTCATGACCTGTGTGGACAATTCCATCTAAAGTAGAACTGTTGGCGATTTTGAGTACATCTTTGTTTGGTTACACTTCCAGGTGTTCCTGACGACAAAATATCAAGTTTGTAGAGCAACAGCCAATATAAATGACTGTACAGAGGCAGTTGAACTGACAGTTACGTTTAGAGGTGTTTAGTCTGGGTACTTCATCTATCGGTTGAGGAGTCAGAACTGGTTGCATGTTGCATAGAGGATTTCATCATGAGCTGACATTAGTTAGAGAACCATTGGAAAACCTGGGAGCACTGGATAGCTGTTTCATCCTAGTTTGGGACTCCTCATCAGTACGCACCCACTCATTGAGGTTCGAACCCAGGACCTTCTGGTTACAAGGCCAGCTCATAGACCACTAAGCCACTGGGACCCGATCCATAGGGTACAGCAGGTTGAAAATGAGGCAGTAACTTGTCGAAGAAGATATTGCGAAATGGTAGCGCTATGTATCGTGAATTGGCAGAAGTCAGGAACCAAGGACGATTGGACATGGTCCCAGTGGCTCAGTGGTCTGCGAGCTCGCTAGCCTTGTAACCAGGAGGTCCTGGGTTCGAACTCTGCCGTTGGGTAAGTTTTGCCATCCAATACTCCCAGGTTTTTTAGTGGTTCTCTAACTGATGTCAGCTCATGATGAAATTCTCCATACAACCAAACAAAATCCCTACAAAACCAATACCTGGAAAATATAAGCTTCAGGTTGCCGTTATTAAGCGTTCTTTGAATCGATTTTCTGAACTTGTTGGTTATTATTTCACTTAGTATGTCACCTTTGAATTGTAATCACATATATAGAGGCTTTCTGTTAATAATACTTCTCTACCTTCCTAGCCATCAGTTTAGTGATGAACTTTCAGCGTAGCTTTTTCTAGTTAACCTGTCGTATTCAACAAACTTAGGTTCATCTCCATCCACATCCTCAAAACAAATACCATTGATCTTACAAATGAGGGCCATTACCACGTTCCTTTCATACAGGGCAGGAACAAAGCTGTGAAAATGTGTGTGTGTGTATACTGACCGGTCTAAATACTTTTGTTATTCAAATTCATTTTTATGCCACTGTCTGGTGTTTTTATCAGTAGGACGTCTGAAAAGACAACTTTTCGCTCTGAGATTCTTCTCCACAGGTCAGTTTGATAGCTGAATATATACACCATTGAATTGAGTTATATTTTACTGCGTTCCTGTCGAATTCATTTTCACAAACAACGAATGTATCATCTCCATATTGTCAATTAAATAAGAGCATTTTCTAGTTTACTCAGAAAAAAGGTTTTCTAACACAGGACCCAATAGAAAGCCCATTTCCACCGCCGCCATCTACCCGTCTATAGAGTTCACCATCATATTTGAAATTCATATTTTATGATGCCCGTTAGTAACAACTGTTTAGGGATATCTACAGGAAACCCTATATATTTATTAGCTTTTTATATACCTGTAAGACAGTCTGACTGCCTATTATCACCGATGATATTCTCAATTACGATGGACTGGGTTTTATGCGTTAGGATCTGGGGAGGGGCTAGGAGACAGAAATACGCTAGACCACTGACAAGAAGAATCTAGAAAATCTGGATTTCGTGTATGGATGATTTATGCCTAATTTTGCACAAACTTGAAGAAATACAGGGAAAAACCAACAAACTGGAGGGAGAGGCAAGCAGCGAGGACAGGATTCCAGATGAACATAGAGAAGATGGATGTGGAAATAATCAACCAACCAACCAACCAACAGCAGCAACAGAAACCAGCTCCAATCACAATCAAAGGGGGGGGGATTTAGCCGAGATTACCTCCTTCGCTTATCTAGAAAGCATCGTTTCAACTACAGACGGAAAGGATAAAATATCAAATCCAGCCATACAGAATTAGAAAGGCAAGATATACCTTCATCAACGTGAAACCAGTCTAGAATTCTTCTGCATTCACCTAGCATAAATAACAACATTCGGATTTTCAACACAAATGGGAAGTCAGTTTGTCAATTCTTCTATACGGATCAAAAACTTGATGAGCGTGTCATGGAAATGACTTTCAGCAGCCTGTTGCAGACTTTATTAACAACTACCCATTTTCGCCAGCTTCATATTGAAGATTAAATGGCCAACGAGAAAGAATTAGCATCAAGAAACTCTAGTTGAGAACAAAGCAATAGGCGAGATCCGATCGCTCAACAAATATGGCACACGCGAATGAGGAGGCCGCTGAATGAAACCGGGTGCAGTGCAGTCTAGTGCTCGAGTGGAATCTGAATAGGAAGCGTAGACTAGGTCATTGGTACGAAGGTGAGAAGAAGAAGAAGATCGCCCAAGTCTTTCTACCATTTGCCTCGAACCATCTGACAACAATTCAGAGTGCCCAGGTCACCTAGCGAAATAGTGATATTGCAAACCTGATG